TTTCTCTTATACATTCTGATTTTCTGTAATAAATCTTGATCTTCTCATTATCTACACGAATATTATATGATCCTTTTTGTTGTTGTTTTTAATCCTTTTAAGCTTTTACTCTTAAAGTTATCTAGTGACAAAAAGCTCCAAAGGTTAATTGTGCATTGTGTAACCATTTCCCTTTATTCATTTCAAGTGTTACTTTTGTGTTAAGCTACATGTTCCCATTTGAAAGCATAAGTGGAAGCATCTGATAAACCTTCCTTACACTGTTAGTTACACTGTGTTAGGGCTCTGCATCTTTTTTTGTTTGTTTGTTTTGAATCCAAACCATGCTCATCTCCATCTTTCTTCACATACAATATTTATACAACAAAGAAAATACAATTCTTTAAGTGCCAGTTTTCATTTTTGCTATAAGGTCTTCCTGAAATGCCAAGAACTAAGTAAATTAAACTTACTAAATATTGTACATGAATAATATTGAGTAAATTACTGCATGTTATAATAAGCATCATGCTCATCAAGCCACCCAGATCAAGACCTTCCTCCCCAACCCAGAGTGACTACCCTTTCTTCTTCTGTACATTGAAAAGGAGCCTTGTACCTGTTCAGATCACCAAACCTGGGGTGCCTGGGCAGAGTTTACATCTGTGTTTCAGTTTAAACTGAAAAAAATGACCGTGCTTAAAATGATCAGCCCTCAAACAGCATAGCACAGCTGAACTGCAGAAGAGGAAAGCGCTACATCAGTTTATCACAGGGGAAGAAAAGCTTGATAATTCAAGCAATTGTATTATTGCATATAATTAAAATGCAAAGTGATTGACTTACAAATAATATATGCATTAAATTTATAGCACAGGAAAAAATGTTTAATAAAATACATTACCTCCATGTTTGCCCTTTAGTAATAGAACAGTCGAGGTGATTTTACCATCTTAAGTTATGATGTTAAAGAAAATTATTTCATATTATTATTCATAAATGGGCTGAACGCCTTGATCCTTCCGTTCTGAATTTGCTTCATGGCAATAGCATTCCTGTGGTGATAGATCACTTGCCATTGCTGTTCTAATAATGTACTACTGGAAAAAGAAATAGGCTGAAAATGATGTGTCCAAGGGTGCACTGCAAAACAGATCCAGGTGCACGCTACAGCAGGATGAGCACACTGACACATTGAGGGGACTGTTGACCACTACAACCTCCTATTTTCTAGGCTTCGTGGTTTTGCTATTTTAAAGAAAAAGTCAATCCAGACAGAGAGGCAACCTACAATACTTCAGCAAAAGAACAATGTATGTGGTAAGACCTAACATTCAATATCAGTTTCCTCCTGAGCAACGGTAACACGACAAAGGTAAAGATCAAACAAAAATTGTTTTACAGAAGTTCCTTCCACTGCTTTTACAGCCTGCCCTAGCATAGATCCTTCTATTGCTGTTCTTTCTCAGAAAACTTTTACCTTTTAATGGGAAGCAGTCTTTCTTCTTACTAATGGGGAAGTAACTCATTAAGTCTGGAAACCAGATGAACTCAGGTGTTTCAGCAGATGCATACACTGCACTTTTCAAGCCCTGTGCTCATTTCACTGCAATTGTCCCTGGTGATGGAGCACACCCAAGGTGTGCATCATCTGTTCTGTCCACCAAGGTGTTTCCATGGAATAATAAAAACAAAGATTTTATAGCTTGGGTTGTCAGAGTACAAAATGCAGAATTTTGTAGAAATTGAGAGCATCTCCTTGTCAGATTCACCTTGGGTAAGCAGCTGTAACTAAAGCATAAAGATACCCAAGACCCACCCACACCAACTTGTCTTCTTAGGCCTGAGATCCATTCTGAATATAACAATTTGCTTTAATTGGCTTGTTAAAGTCATACTGTGCATCGGTACCTGGAGGGTATAAACCCAAAGGGACAAACAGTTACACAAGGGGTTTTGTACAGCCCGAGAGATTATTTAAGCATTAGTAATTGATGGCCTGAAAGAAGAGAGACTGCACCTCCCGATTTCACACAGCAGTGTTTTCTTTCTGAGACAGAAGAGTCAGAAATTACATTTGGAGCCCCCAGGGAAGGTGGTATGTTTTTCCCCTGATTCTTTCACTCCAGCTACTCGCTCTGTGTATCATTTCAGCTCCACTGACCCCAAGTCCTACAGCACATATTACTCCTTATGAAAGAGTTTTAAAATATGAAATAAGTGAGTTATATGCCAAGAACATCCTCGGCTTCTGAATTTGCAGCAAGTAGCATCATGCAGTTTCATGTCAGATGCCCTCAGTGGAGATCTTGGATTCACTGGTGCAGAACCTTTCACTAAATATGAGGTTAAAATTAATGTATTGATTCAATTCTTTTGTAGGCTTTTAAAAGTTCAGACTTTCCATACTCATTCCTTCTCTGTAGTGTAGAAATTCATTCGCTTCATACCCAGTTTTGATGCTTTTTGACTAGCTCATGCTTTAAGAACTGTGTGGTCAATATCAAATTAAGTGAAATGTTGCCATACACTTCTAATGCTCAAGAAATTGATATAGTCGATAAATCAACACATCTGATATTTCAGCTAATGTATGAACTGATATCCTCACATTTTCTAGAGCAAAACTGAATATTTGAAGAATAATATTCTCAGATGACCTGGAAAAATGTGCTCATCTCTGGCCATTTAGCTGTTCAGTGTAAACGACATGTATGCTGTTGCCTTGCTAAAGCAAACAGGAAGCATGTGAAAATTATCTAAACATGGCTAACAGACCAGAAGGACTATCTAGTAGTACTGTAAACAGTAAACGTACTTCTAAAATATTATAAAATGGGTTTTAAAAATGGAAAATAAAAGATATTGGTTTAACATTTCTGCCTGGTCACCTTTACTCAGTCATTCATTCTAATTTCTTCAAAACATCTCAACCATTTTACAGGTCCTGAAGGGAGTCACATGGAACAACAGTAACTTGTATTTCAAATATTTAGTTCACCCATTCAATTTTGTTGGATGATATATTTGAAAAGAAACAAAGAGGCCCAAATTAAGTCTTTCCTTTTCCAGAGTTTGAAAGAAAAAGAATAGTAATTTAGATTATTATAAACTGAGAACCTGGTTAAATTACTACAGCATAAGTACAGATATATCTCAGATATATATTTTAGACTAAACAGTGGTTGCTGCAGAAATTAACTGGTAGAACAAGAAGCAGAAAAGTCCTTTACAGACTTGCTTGTGATTTAACATGTAAGTCATGGAGCCCAAAGGCCACATCACTGCAGTTAACAGTTCATCCCTGAACTTGGTCAAATCACATGTTCTTTTTAAAACCCAGTTAATATTTTGTGAATGGGTGGGGAAAAAAAAAAAAAAAAAAGAGTATTTAAAGAGTTAAAATTTCAACCATTTTAGTTTAGAGGAAAACAGCTTGTAAAGAAACCAACTCTAGTCACTTGAAAGTTAAGAATAGCACTGTCTTGGAAAAGGTAGTGCCTAACAAATGCTGAAATAAGCAGCACTGTATTTCTACTTCTTGTTAAGATTACAGCTCAGGCAGTTTTCATTGCTCCTTCACAGTGCTCACAGTAAATCTTGGCAAATAGCCCGTATATTGCACAGCATAGACTGTACCAGAGCTGGTAATTACCCCTTCACATACCGCAGCCTAAAGTTTTGAGAAGTATTAATTTAACATAACAGTGTTCTACTGAAGGCCGTATATTCCTAGGAAATAGCGTGATAAAAGGGACAGAATTTTGTTTAGCCAATATTTTCTTTTAACAAATCAAAACAGAAAGCACACGTTGTTGATTAGTTGGTGAGATTGGTTTGTTAAATCCTCTTTCACTGACTACAGAAATACAGACAGCTACATTAATTTCTCCTGAAGCAAAAATAAATAAGATAAAGCTTTTGTCTGGCTTAACCGTTATTACAAAGCAAAGTCTATTCCTTATATGCATTTGCTTGGTGACCCTGTCATAGGCAGCACACTAGGTCCTCAGCCAAATCAAGCAGGTCTGGCACCCACCACTGCAAGTGAACACTCACGTGTCAATAATGCAGAATAGGCACACAAAAAAATCTTCCTAATCTTCCCAATAAGTATCACCTGGGATAAACACGACCTCCCCAAGGTTGTTTCAATATCTCACTTGCAGTGAGGGCAGGATAAACCCCATTGCCAACACGGCATTTTGATCAGCCCTGGCTGATACACAGAGCCCGCAAGCTTTCTGCTCTAAGGGGGTCTTGTCCTGCCCAGCTCCCGTTCTCCTGGTGGCAGACTGGGCACACAAGAAGCAGCCCCACACCCAGCATATTTATCTGTGCCTCCTTCCTTTGTCCTGTGCTAAGGAGGCGTGCTTTGGGTGAGATAATTGGGACATCTTTATGCTGCTCCTACAGCATGAGTCAGAAAAAAGAAAAGGATGAACACATTTCCTTTCTAGCTATGCAATCTCAAAGCAGCAGAGTTTCAGGGCCTTATGCCTTGGCAAGGAAGAAATACACATTTTATTGCTGAAGAAAATTCCTCAGGAATCAAACATGGCATCTGACTTGTCAGATAATTACTTGCTGTCTGCACCAGCCCCATATTCAGCGCTGTTGTTATGCTCTTGCTTACTTAGATCCAAAAGTTTCACTGTGAAGTTGCTTAAACTTTGCTATAGGAATTAAACATCAGTGGGTCTGAAAAGGGAAGAGAACAAATTAAATGCCTTAGAAAGGGGAAGGATTAGACTTTCCAAAGTCTATTTGGAGACAACTTGGAAGGCAATTTATGTATTAAAACAGATTTCTAACATCAGGGCTCTAATGCATGTACATTATAAAGACAAATCTTTTTCAACTAAAATGAAAGCCATCTTTTGTCTTTAAAACAGCTGTATTTATGAGTTATTTACACTTGCTTTAGCAGAATTTGAAAAGCATAAGTTGTAGATTCTACCTTTTCTTTCCACTCCCCACAAGCTGTACTGAGCCAAGTATTGTCCTGGCACAAAACTTACCTCTTACAAGGGGCAGGCAGAAGTAAGATTTCCTCTCTAGGTTCCCACAGTTGGATGTGTTGAAGAAGGGGGAAAAACAGACCTGACCCACAAATATTTTGTTTCATCATCCATAACACAGTGAATTTTTAGGGTAGATGTAAGAAAAGGACCAAAGCTACAGCACTACCAGGAAAGGAAAAACCAAAACTCCTTCCCTTGCTGCTGTTATAAAGCTCAGCAGCTACAGCCCTTGGGTGTTTTCCCTCCCCTAACCCTTTCCAGCTGCCCAGGGGTGGAGCTCATTTGCTCTCTTAAGACATTAACTAAAACCCCTTGAGATGATGGGGACAGGAGGAGCAGCTTAAAACTGTGAGGATAGAGTCTGACCATCCGGCTTTTACATTTCCAAAGCGTCAAAACATAACCGTCTTGGAGCCTTGTATTCTTGGCAAAGTGCTGCTTTCACCAGCGCCAGTAACCCCAGGTTTCCATCCGTTATGTTGAGAACCCAGGGTAGGAAAAGCAACGACCTGCAGACAGATTTGACTTTTGTGTAGGATTCAACATGACAAGCAACAAATGCCTAGCACTTGCAGCCCAAAAACTGTAAAAGCCAATTGTTTTCTTTGCCACAGCCGGCACAACACATTTCCCCCTTAATTAAGTTCCTAGACCTAGCCTGGTTTCACATCAGAAAAGTGATGTTTGCAAACGGAGCAAATGGATCAGCTGGCATCGCACGGTGCGGCACACCGTGGGCTGAGCTCCAGCTTGGCAACGGGCCCCAGGATTCCCACGTCCCTCGGTCGCACATTCAGCTGCAGAAGTGCTGATTTAAGCAAGGGGAAAAATAAAGGGTGTCACTTCCTTCCCAAATGGATTATTTCAGCAAGTTCAGTGAAGGTTTGTTGAAGTTGGGGATGGCAGGAGAATGCATGTCAAGAGAGCATATGCAGAGTCCCATCTGCTCCTTCCAAGAAAAATGACAATAAAGAGAGTATGAATTTCAGTTTTGTTTTATTTGTTCCCTTTTATTCAAAGCCTGCGGTTTTCAAAGTTTTCTGAGCTGCAAGCTCCTCACATAGCTCACAAAAGCTTCACTTGCTAGGCCTTGGCGATATCAGTTATGTATATACTAAATCTCATTAAAACCAAATGGATTAGCACCACCTAATTTATGGTGCTTCCATTTGCAGCACCTCACAAAGCCTTTCAGCCAGCCTTGATTTTCAGAAATACCAAGCGCACATTTTTTTAAAACCAGCTTAGCATTAAGGTGCTTCAGCTTGGGCATGTAAAAGAAAAAAGATACTGAAAGTCACAAGGTGCTTCAGAAAATAGGGGGGGGGAGGAGTTTATGATAGAGATTTTGCATTTGTAATTTCTTTTATTATTATTATTAATTCTCAGCCTTTAAGGGTTTTGAGCAGAGTCAAAGGAAATAAACTAAATAACAAAACGCGTTACACAGACACATGGCTTTGTACTAGGTGTCATTTGTATTTACTACAGGATCTTTGCTTAGGAATGTAGACATATTTTAGGGGCAGTGACCAGTTTCTGAAGAAGTTTAAATTAAGACACTGTATTACTGAGTTTGTGACATTGTGTAATTAATTACCACTGAAGTGGGAGATCATCTTTCTTCTACTGGAAACACTGCTTTTAATTTCCTAAATCATGTACATTAAATACTGCATTATATTTTTTAAACACAGTAAATATTATAAATATAAAAGCAGCCACAGTCACCAACAGTCTTGCTTTGAAAAGCTTTTTTTTTTTAAAGAGAGAAACATACAATTCCATAAAAAATAACACAATCTCCCTGTACAAACGTCACTGAAGAATAGAAAATAATGGATATGATTTTTTTTTTTTTTTAAAAAAGAACAAAATAGAAAGATTTCTTTCAACAATATTCAGACACCCCCTTGGAGAAACCACAATGTGGCCTCTATTCTTTCAATTTTGTTGCCGGTTGCGTTGACGCTAATACAGTGGTGGATACAGAAGTGTGCAGGTGCATGTGTGCATACAGTAGACAGTGCAGTCATGCTTTTAAAGAGTTGTTCCTGTGCAGAAGCATTCATTTAACCCCAAAGTTTAACAGGTTCCATAAGGGCTGCAAAGCACTGAAGCGACCAGACAACTTTCTATGTGAAACAATAGCTTCTTGCACATTAATTTCATTTTATATGAGTAAAAACAATAATATATCTAAAGTATAGCATGGAAGTTTGAAACAGGTAATTTTCCATGCAGAGAGCATTGGTTTGCTCTTCAACAATTTGCTGAATTAATCTACCGGAGACTGTTTTGTTGTAGCACATAAAACCTGATGGAATATTTTATTTGCACTCCAGGTGGAGAGGTTGTGGGTTGCAGGGGGTGTTGGGGCTCCAGCAGCAGCCTGAGATGGGCGGGTGGGTCCTGGGGTCCCAGGGCTGCTCCAGGGGAAGATGGAGGTTGGTGCACTCCAGCAAGGCAAGAAGCTGGAGGCTTTTTTAAACCGGGCAAATTAGATGAACAACATCTTGACATCTTCAGACATCAGGTACATACCACATTCAACATCTTGACATCTTCAGTGGTCAAGTACACGGCCTGTTCTGCTGTATTTTCCCGGGAACTGATCACAGCAGCGGTATTTACAGCTTTACAAACTGAGGATGCTTTTTGGTGTTTTGCTGGTAACTACTTGCATTCCCTATTACATTTCACATCTTATCGTATCACTTTTACCTTCCTTACAGCATCACTTCTTATCCCTGTCCACTTAAGAGAGCAGGTGGTACTTTCTGAACTTCACAATCCTCTTGATGCGATGAGTGCAAAGTCATTTCTCTACTGATATTAAAAAGCAGCAACAGTGGTTGACCCTGATTCTGCACTGTGTTGCACCACTTTTTGAAAGCCAAGGCTCTAAGTGTGTGGCAAATGGTTTCTGTCCTGTTTGGGAAGCAAAACAAGTAACAGAAATAGCTCTCTACAAACCTAAGTAATACATATATTACCAAGCTATGTACAAATCCATATATATTTTATGTGCTGCTGATCTACATTTAGTAATTAACATTCATTCACTTATTGCATTTCTCTTTTTCTACTGTATTCTCATTTACCTGTATTGTGCCGTCTACATCCTTTCTAAAATATCACTTCTGTTTACCTAAAACTTAAAATCTATTGAACTAATACACTCATCTCTATGTTATAGCTCTCTTATCAGTTCTTAATTGCTGCCTTTTTATCATTCTATTTTTCCTGTACTACTATTTTCCATGTAATTACCTCCACATTTGTACTTAATTCTTCCACTTGCTATGAGCATCAGAGCAGCAGGGCTGGTCTGCTCCCACAGGCAGAGCAGGGGGCCTCAGCTCTCAGCTGCAGTACTCCAGCACCTTTTGGGAACTTTGGACCCGTATGGAAAGGAAGACCTCAAGTTTTAAAAAAGCACATGTTTTACTTGATTGACAAAATCAAACAGCAATTTTTGGAAAATATTATTTCAGAGTGTAGTACAAATTGCTCTCTTTTTGTGAATACAGGCAAACTTTGGGTTTAGCTTTCACTTGAAGTTTGTGTGGCAGCAGCACCAGCCTGATGCAACACAACCGGAGGTGATGGGCAAGAACCGGTGGACACAGCCCACAGTTTTGGCTAATTTTGGGTATCATTCCATAAAAAAATGCTCCCTGGGTCTCCATTTGCTGATATACTTCTGCACAGCCAAAAACCAAAATAGAGATGAGATTGCAACCATACTTCGCCCTTCCAAGCAGCACGGTTCACCCGTGATCTGTTACACCCACCTCCTGCTGGAGGCAGGGACAGTCACTGCACCCACCAGACTGCTCAGGTCTTTAACCAGTTCTGAACTGGTGACCTCCCAGGATGCAGATGGCACACTTAGATTTATTGTACTGACTCACCAATACAGTTATCAACGTTTAACCTTCACTGCTCTCACTATCATCATTCTCCAGGCAGGACACTTCTAACAGGAGCTTCATTGTCATTCTCCATCAGTATTACAATAAACAGCCCTCCCTAATCAGCATTCCCTCGGTGCCAAGCCCAAAGGCAATCTGCTGGAAAAGATGTGATGAAACCAGAAGGGATCAATACCAAAAAGTTTTCACAAACTCAATCTGGCAAGGTTAGCGTGGATAATATTGATAGATAAAGATCTAACTCTATCACACATGACAACAGGATGAAAATAAGAGTGCGCAGTGATGTGCTACTTAAAGTTGTACCGCTGTGGACTTGGAAAAATGTATGGGAAACTGTTGTATTTTCCCTAATAACAATAATATCAATAAAGATTAAAATGTACTATGGGTAGTACTGATTTTAAGGATAAACTATAAAATTATGAAATAGCTACTGTACTTTTAAATGCATTTAAATAACTCCAAGAATTAATTCAATTTGCTTTATGAGCTGTGAATTGAATAGCAAATATAGATGAATTACATAAACACACGGATTTTTTGTTGGTATAATGGAAATCAAACTTCTCAGATATCCTTTGAAGTCTTTGGAATTCCTATTAAATCTGTACTTCTTCCCTTAATTGTGGGATTTCTATACAATAATTAGTTTTTAATACAGAGAGACTGAGGGCTTTATTGTGCTAGTCACTATAATAATGTTGCCCTGCCATGTTCACATCAGGGATATAAAAATCAAATCATCGTGAACAAGAAAGGGTGAAGAGAAACAGCCCTGAGGATGCAGTTTCCTTAATCTCTCTTCCTCTTTTTACAAGTCTATGTAAGATAGTATTTCTGATTGATTTCCACCAATATTAGCGAGTTATGGTTTTATTTGTTTTTAATGTCATATTTCAATGATATAGGAGAGCAAGAAGGAAATTAGAGAAAGCTAATGATCACCACTACCTTTTCTTGATAGCACTGAGAAATTGCTCATCTGGCACAAACCTGTGCCTGCAGTCATCTGCACCTCCAAGGAGACCCTGTTAAGTCTCTGAAACCTAGCCACAGTTTGCAGAAATAGGATATATATATTTATTGAAGGCAGATGAATGGTCCATAGTGCTTCCATTTGTTTATTTACCATTTCTTTGATAATGTCATAGATTTAAGTTCCTTATACTCAGTGAAGAAAGAAATCCCTATGATAATATTCTGGCAGGAACATCACAGCAACTTGAAGAACACAGCACAAAAGACATGTGCCACACAATCTGTAGGTACTAGTACAATACATCCAGGCAGCAGAGCTGGCAAAGGTATGACTGCTGAAACATCTTGCACCAGCAGGTGGGCTGTGCAAACCCTTGCAGTGCATTGCTGTGATGCCAGACAACACACGCGACCACATGGGTGTCTGTCTCGGGGGTCTGACAGCTTTCAGAAATGAAGCAGCTTTCCCCAGGGCTGGTTAAGGTTACTCTACAAGTTTTGCAAAAATGAAATAGGAGAGGGTAAGGCTGTCTTTTTCAAAGCCCTTGGAGACTGAGGATGAAAAGTTAAAGGGTGGTTGCTGGAGAGAATTAAGGACACTCTGTGTGTGTGCAAGTACAAAGTACTCAGCCAGCAGATCACCTGCCTTCCATCCCTTGCAATAACGCTGTGGGACACCGTGATTTGCCAGCACTCAGATTGTGTGAAAGGGAGAAGCTGGCCTCCCAGATCAAGGGTAACTTCGGGCTATGCACATATATTCATACAGGCAAGTCCTGGTTTCTCATATCAGAAAGTTCAGGAAAATACTAGCAAAGGTTGTGCGTCAACTTAAAATTTATTTACTTATTTATTTTCGTGACTGTGATCAAATCTTAACTTTAAAATGCTGTAATCTCTTTTAAAACACACATAGGGAAAGCATTTCATGGGTAACTGTAATGTAGTGTACCCACAGCTGCCAAGCTGAAGCAGGACAAAACAGTTATGAAAATAGTGTTCTCAGATTTTAAGAGGATATTAAAAAACAGAATGAAGGAAAGCAGATTAACCTCTGTAGGGAGAACTTGACAGTGTCCATCCTGCCTGATTTTGGTATTTGTCTGAACATTTTACAGACTTTCTCACATTTTGTGTGGACATGTGCTTAAACAGATTCAGCAAATGTTCACCAATAAGAAGATGCATTTCCACTCCATAAGCTTCAGAAGATGAAAAATTTTCAAGAAACCTTAATGTCATCACCCTTTCTGATAAGCCACAAAGACAGACGTGTTTTCAGATGCCTTGGATTCATACTGTATAAATCAGCACCCGAGAGAGGAATGGCGACAGCGCCTGAGGAAGCTCTGCCTGCCTGCTCCCAGAAACCAGGCTGAGCGAGGACGCCTTGCTCTGAGCACCTGAACAGCAGCAGCAGCAACCTGGGGCTCAGATTATGTATTTGTTGGTGTGTATCTGACCGGTGTAAGAATGTGATTTCATGCAAATATTTTGGTGGAGATTAGTTGATAGCAAAACAGAACTGGAATGCTAATGACTTTTGGCAGCACATACAGAGGATGAAAACTCATTCAATCCAAGGCAAAGTGTCAGCTTTAATAAAGTAATGTCATGCTATGCCTCCCCCATAGCTGGCCTATACTGACATGAAAAATTGTAATGGTGGAAATGCAGAACTTTGGAGATATAAATAACTTGAGACTATGTTATAAAATTTCCAACTGGGGCGGAGGAAAACTGTAAACATACATTAAGTGACTGCAGTGAAGGATATTATTGCCACCTATTGACAGCAGAACCTTCTGAAATAATACAGCCTCTTTGCTGCTATTGAATTGAAATTCCTCCCTGGTAGAGCTTTACAACAGGCGGTTCCTGCTGCATTTGTATGGTGGGGGATACAGGCATTTTGAATACCATAAAGATCTGGATTTAATGAGCACAATACGATCTGAGGAAGTTACAAACAAACAAAAACACCCAATCCACAAACAAAAACAAGCCCTTAGGGGGGTAGCCTAGCAGCAATTCCACACCCTGTGAAACAGGGACTGGCACTCATGGGGCACTGTGGGTGGTGCCATCAGTGCTGGGAGGGATGGAAGAGGCACAGAGGAAGGGGACTGTCACACATCCACGTGGCCACAGAGCACACGTTGTCATTTGCTTGCAGGAGTAAGTGTATTTCTCCCCTGAGGCTTATCTGCAATGTCTCAGAGCCCCCCGCTGCCCTCAGCTGCACACTTCCCCTTCCTCTAAGGCTCCTCAGCTGGAGACACCTCAATAGCTTCCTAAAGCTTCCTTGCAGCATTTATTAGAAAACAAACGTAAATTCGAACTGCATCAAAAGTAAGCAGTGTTCAGCCATACAAAACTTAAAAGCTAGACAATTGCTTAGCCAGAATTGCCAGGTCTGTAATTAGCCTAATTTCAGCAAGTACCTTCCACCATCTTGCCCTCTTTTTTGGTGTCCTATTAGCATTTGAAATATGAACCCCCTCCCACCTCTCTTGTCAGGCACTCAGTTATATTATTAGGTACTTCAGTGTGACTCATTCTTGACAGCCCACTGATTTCTGATCTAATTTGGGTCAGACAGTGCAGATGGAGACCAGCATCCTATTGAGTCCTCTGATTCAGTCACTGCTCAGTGGAAATCCAAGCCCAGAAACATCCATCTTTCACTGGCCCTCAACAATACACACTCTGAACCACATGCACCTAAAAGGTCCTCAATATCATTTCACAGCTCGGTAGAAAAATAAAAACTCTATAGGTCAGAACAGTTTTATGCTGCAGGACAATTTTTGGAATACCTTTGTTTAGGTATTAAAAATATTATTCATGTATGGTTTATGTATTCAATTTCTAGAGCAGGGTGAAATGATTTTTGTTTTTGTAATCTGTACTATGGGAGTGAATTTGTGTTTGAGTCATGTTCTGTTTCCTTGGAAAAGGGCGGATTCATTATACAGTGTCTTTTGAAGTCTCATCACTTTAAGAAAAAACTGAATATAAACAAAAAAGATTAGTTACAGTATCCAATAGAAAGAATAACCAGGTTTGAATAGTTAATAGTTGATATTTCCTTTTGGGAGTTCACAATGAATTTAGTTTATAGAAATTTTACTTAGACAAAGTCTCAGCTAAATTTAGGAAACTTTAAAAAAAACTGTTCAGAAATGTTTTTCTTCTAAATCAACATTAAAGCAATAATCAACTTTAACATAACAAAAAATACAGGGCCTAACCCTTGTTGGAGACTTTTTTCTAATAAAAAAATTATCCTGTACAAAGCCTCTGTAGGGAGAAGAACTTTTCAGAAATCATTTTGAGTTTATGCTCCTGGTTAATGGTCCCTGTTGCTAAAGAATTGCATCTGCAGAGTATGACTGTCTGCATCGATTGCTGACTGAGCAGTCATCCTTTTTTTCCTCTAGGAAAATTCTGCACTGTCCAGTACATCCATCACCAAATCACTCCCAAGCCCTTAGATCAGGAAGTGGAGTTTCTCTGAAACCCAAGTTGCTTCTCATTTCCTTTCATTGTTTCAAGTCCTGTAGCCATTCTGTCTTTCTTTATACACTTCAGTTATTGAAAGACTTCCCTGATGCCCTGGTGCCAAGCACTCACCTGCAGGAGAAGCGGCACATACACCACTCTCGGAATTCCCCTGTTTGTCTTCCATCGCAAGATGCTGATGGTCTCATTGGCCTTCATGATGGCATTTCTACATGGGCTCACGTTTACCTCTCCCTGTGGGCCATTTCAGTTTCTTATTCCCAGGACAAACTTCCCAGCCCATGGGAAGGCCACCTTCCTTTCCACAGGCATAGGACTGCATTCAGCAGTACTGCAACATGTGGTGTTTGAGCCCAGCTTACTAACCCACCCCACAATGTCCTCTTCCTTATACGTGACCCCAAAGAACATTCCTGCCTTCCTCAGTATAAATTCTTTATTACCTTGGTTTTGGTCCACATATTGTTGCAGCTCTGATGTTTTTAAAGTATCAAGCTCCTGGACTTCATTCTGGTTTTACATAATAAATATTATCAGCTCAAGAGGACCTGGAGAACAAAGAAATAACTTTTCATTTCCTTAGCATACTCAGCATTATATGTCAATAAGCACTCTATAACTGAGTCTGAAGATGCAGCATATTTCAAATTAGGACTCTCCATCAGTCCTCTGAATTCAGTGGTACATCAGTAGAGTAATATTTCCACCCCATACCATCTACCCCAAGGCCTCACATGGTGGCAGAAGTAGCATAAGCTTTTATTTTTCCCCCCCCCCATCTTTCCCAACACAATTGTCCAAGGTGTACAGAGATTGTTCCGGCCATTTGGGTGTGGGATCCTGCTGTTCACAGCAATTCTGACTCTTTTAGGCCACTGAGCACTGAAGATAATCTACCCCCAAGATAGGAAAGAATTAATGTCACTTTTATTATAAAATACTACTCTTCTTACTTTTCTCCCCTAATTGATTCATCTTAAATAGGTTCTCACTATTGATTTTATCATTCCAGCCATGCCATCCCTCCTGCTAGGTCTCAGTAACATGAAGTGGGTCTAATTTATACTTATAAATGAGTCATTCCAATTACCCTTCCTCATTATTCTCTCAACATAAGCTATTTGATTTCTCTCCCCCCCCCCCTTCTCTGTTCCTTTGTTTGTTCATTTTACTTTCCACTAGCTTGATTTTATGCTAGAAATGAATGCTTATTTATTCCTTGTTTCTTTTATTCCCTTCTCCTCCGTGACTGTAATGGCCTCTGTAGGAGTCCTTCAGCTCCTGTCTCAGCGCAGGCAGAGGTCACCTCACCTGCCTGTTCCCCAGAGGGCTACAATGTACAGCTTTCTGACCCCCTTCCCAGTGCTGAACCATGATGCTGAGGTGTCAGCTTAAATGGAGGGGTGGCCAGCTCTCCTGCCAGGAAAATTGGAGTTCCACTGTTCTAGAACATGTGGGAAACCAATGGGGAAGACATCCCACTGTCAGGGGGCGAGCTGTTGGGGCTTTTCCAGCCAACCTGCACAGGCAGGGATGTTATTATTTCATCTTGCAATGAACATAAATTAGCTCGAATTTTCTATTATGCACCCACTTTCCACACTGTTTTGATTGTTCATAGTTGAACATTTTAAAGCATGTGCAACTTCATTGCTCATTTCCAGTGTATAACTATACTATCTGCACAAAAAAAATAACTCCACTACCACTCAGTCTTCAAGGCTATGAAATAAAATGACAACATTGATTTCAGCCAGCTATAAGATTTCTGAACAGGAAAAAAAACAACACAAAACAAATCTACACAATGAAGACATATTTAAATGCACAGTAACCATCCCAAGAACATCAGCACTAACCACCGCTAACACTCACCGAGCCTCCCACCTGCCTGTAGCTCGATGCCTCAATTACACAATGCAGAGGAACAAAGCTTTGCGCATCCTTGGGTGTCTGTATCATGTTCAAAGTTGCCATTATTGTTAGCTTGTGCAGAGAGAGGAGTAATCACAGAAACAAATGAGCATCCTGACAACCCACCGGATGCATTGCAACACCGTAACTGCTGCTGCAGTCTTGCAATAAGGAGGAATTATCTCATTTAAGTTTCACACTTTTCCTGACCTGGGTTCACACTAAGAGGAGAGAACTACTGTAGTAGTACCTGCTTTTGTATGATCTTCACACACTTGGTGACAGGCTTTCAGTCCACGGAGGGAATCATTTCCCTTCCAGAAACGCCATATGAAGTGCTCATCTTATTATTTTTATGTTTTTAAGGGTGGCACACTACCACACTATCAGCATCAGCAAACAAGCTTTTGTAGGCACTTTCAGGAAGGGGTCCTTAGACAAAAGCTTGTGCGCTCCACATCGGATCACAAAGCAAACAGGGCATTTGCCAGAACATCTTAGCACAGGAGATCATTTCAATGTACGCTTAAGTGCTTGCTAGTTGTCAGCTTAGTTATTTCAAGTGATGTATCTACAAGTGGACAGCCATAACCAGGAGAGATGAGAAACTCTGGGACTGCATTAGGGACAAAGTGACCTGAGCTAAGGCTTGCTGATTGTTGCAGGAGTGCATTCTCTTATGAAGAACAAACAGGTCACTTCTGGAGTGATGGGCCACTGCAGGATGCAAACATTGTTGACAGGATAGGATCTGCACAGTCCAAATCTAATCTTGTTCCAGAAAACAGGCAAAGGAATTCAGTATACCTGAAGATTACCAGTTCAGAGGCACACCACTTTTTGCTGATTTAAGAGAAGTTAAGGCCTTGATTTGAAAATCAATTTAAAAGCACAGTTGCCTTTTTTTTTTTAACCTCTCCCCATACAGCTCTCACACAACGGAATATTTCTTCCTATCAATACACAAAACTGCCAGTTGTTCTGGATATCAACACATAGTTTCTTCCTGGTATTAAAATAGCTTCCAATATTTTTATGTTCCCAATATATTGATTTATATTTAATAGAAGCACATTTGTGCCTATAGTAGTAATGGACCCTTAAGAGTACCTATATTGTTTTAATACTTGATTCAACACACCAGTGGGTACCGAAAAGCTCAGTTGTCATTTAAGATAGAAAAAGTATTCCAATATATAGCTCCTTACCTTCCCTACAGCAGCTTCCCACAGATGTAGAAAATCTGCTAACATCTCAAATCTACAATAACCAAGAAACACAGACAAAGAACTGTAGGAAGGAATCAGGTGGGTATATATATACAAAATCTGTTATGAAGTTGTTTGATTTTCACAGAAAACACTTGCTGTTAAAAAGCCTACAAAAGTACTCAAAGATATGTTATTTCCTAGCCAATATTTCTTCTTATGACAAAAAGAAAACAGAGAAGCAGTAATCTCCTAAGCAAGGAGCTCAGCTCCTGACATAAGCACTAGCTTGTTGCACTCTCAGTGCTGTTGAATTCTTTGGGGAGGGAGCACATGCTGGAGCACCTTCCTGATTTGACACCCATGGTTCTAAACAGAAGTAGGGCTCTGCAAAAGCACTGAGCACAAAGTTGTGTTTAACTGGAAAAATATTTATATGCTATTACTTCATAAAAAAAAATCAGCCTACTTATTTAGAAACCCAGAAATCAGTATTTACCAACAGAATGGTACTTTTTAAAAAAATGCTACCTTCTCACTTCTGATAGCATTTCTCTATAGACCTTTGTGATTTCCTGTTTCAATTTTATTAGCTATTATTTTATACATATATATATTTATTTATTTTTTACAAAATTCTACAATACAGAATTGAGTTTTGGTTATCCTTATTTTTGTAATTCAGTTTGCAAAATATATCAAGTGGGATTTTCTACTTGTATGATTTAAGCAATCCCCCATGTGCCCCAAGATACTAGTTTTCATCACATACACAGTGAACAAGTGTTTGAAAACAAGGAAGGCTAGTGTCTTAGTGAATTAATTTGCTTTACTGCAATATATCTTGCTTTCAGATTAACTCAAATATGCACAAATCCAGAAATAAGTAAAAACAAGGAGAAAAAATGAAAACAAGGGACAAAAAGAAGGGATGAGCAATCCAGGAAACTGAAACAAATGAAGCTGGATTAGATAGATGGAGTTACAAAAGTGTAGTAGCAAAACTTGCTAAAACTACACTAAATAAGAACCATACTACTAAACTGACCAAAAGAGAAAAACACTGGAGAAGAGAAAAACTCAGTGATCAAGCAAGTTTGAGAAAGGCATGACATGACACCCAATTGGTAACTGCTCTAGCTTTCTTCATTTATTACATATAAGTTTCATTGACAGGGTCTCCAACTAAATGCTAAGTGAAATTTGAGTTCAGTGTGAATCAGAACTACAGATATCTAATGAAGAGAAGTGTGTAAAATTTGTGTTCTTAGGTTAGTTAGGAGATACAGTATTTAATAGTTTTGAAATAAGAACTCTGCAAGACTAGACTCTGGATCCATCTACTTTCCCAATTTCTCTGTACGTTTCAAAACATATGCATACCAGATCTGAAATGAAGAGCACCTAGAAGTTTTGTTAAAGAACAGTGCAGATGGTAACACATGTGGACAAAATAAAGTAAACTGAAGTCACACACAGCAGATACCAAGCTTAAATCACACAGAAATGTGAGCTGCAGCTTCTGTGCAAGCCCACAACATATTAATTGGACTCTACGCATTTGCCTGAAAACTCTGCTGGTCAACAAAATCAAAGTGAATGGTGAAGTAATTGTACTGTTCGTGTAGCAGTGGAGACTAATTAACTGACTTCACTAATGGCTATAGTGTGCCACAGAACTTTTACAAATAGAATTGTACAGCTGATAACTACTAATAGCAGGTACTGAAGGTGACATTGACAGTCATCTATCTGCAATTGGGAAAGAAATATTGCCACATACGCTGACATCATTTGATATTAGAAGTTCTGGCTTCTAAATGTCATATTTTAAATGTCATTATATTTGTAGAATGTAAAAATAAAATTTTAATGCTATTTTAGTCATATACCTCACACTGAACCTTAAAATAATGCCATGTTTTTATGAACACTTAATAGTATGAAAAAGTAATTATCTCTAGCCTTTCGGGCTCGGTATCCTTTAATAATGAACTGAGTCATTCTAGAAGTACCATATCCCAATTTTATAATGACTGTTTGCAGACTAGAGGAGAACATACAGATGAGACATAGAAATACTCAACTACTCCAATATTCTGTGACAAGTAGGAGATTCAAACTAACTTTATCTATGAATTGCTTGGGTTGTATATACTGTTCATACAACTTAATTTGACTAAAACATCCCCTTCGGAGTCCAGAATGGAGAGTAATGATTATTTTATTTTATTTTTTTTTTTTAGGGGGGAGAGGGAAGAGGAACCACAACACACACTCAGATTACTCAATAATAAAGGTGTAAGCAACCATGTAACCTTGATTTCACACCCAACTTTAATTTCATGGTGTCGACACTTGTTAGGCTAAGTTATTAGTGATGGCTTAGCCTCCACTTAGTTTAATCCAACTCTGCAGTCAGAGACATGTTACCCAGTGGGTGATTCAAACCATCCTGAATGTGCTGTCAGGAAGCCATTTTAATCATTTTATATATACACTAATTTTAACCAGCATCCAGACAATTATTTTGCACTAAATATCTAATCTTACTAAACTAGGAAAAAATAAAGTCAAATCTCAGATCATAGAAGCTGTAGGAATTCATACTTGATCTTCAAAAGAAGAGTGGTCTAGACAAAACCCCATCATAGCACACTTTACTCTTTTTATTAGTTAAGAGGCACAATCTGCTGCTCCATATGGCCATTCCCCTCCCATTGTCTGTGCTCTACACACTTTACCAGGAGTATGCCATAACGCCATTGTGACAAATTCAGCTTCCAACACATTCTTTGTGTGCGCTTCACTTTCAAATCTTTTGAACTTCATAGCTAAACTCTCCCTCAATTTTATCTACTTCTGGTGATTACTTTCCCTAGGAGCCATACTCCAAGCAGTCTTGTTTCAATGCTCAGTGAGACAGTGAAAAGCTAACCACACAAAAAGACCAAGTTTTCCAAGACTGCATTCATGAGATGCACTAAAGAGAGCAAGAGTGTTTTAGCATCATCTTTTAGCAATGATGAGAGGAAACAGGAGAATCTTCCATCAAGATAGCCCATTCATTGCTCCACATACTGTGCACCATGATGCTTTTTAGATCATTAGCTTACATTTTTCCTATTTTGTAATTTCCTGCAGGTGTGCTTGTTAGCAAGCCACTGCTCACAAAACCATCATCCTGATGTTTTGTTGTTACATGGATAGTGTACTGCCATGCTCACATTCACAGGTCCTACAGGATGATGTTCAAAACAGTATTTAAAACAGATAGCAACACAGACTTCAGATATGCAGCCCAAACAAGGTAACCTGTAAACGAAAAGCTATCTGGGGTAGCAATTAGAGAAAAAGAATGAATGGATGTGGCTTTTAGAAAAAGACAAAGAGCCAATTGGTATTATCTTGCTCTGTTAGTACAGAGCCAGGATTCCGGTTGTTTGGCAATGAGCCATAATGGATGGTTTTAGTTCCTTTCTCTCTTTGATTGCCTTTAGACTTAAGACCCAATATAGCAGCCTGAAGTATGCTACTAGTGTCAGCAAAACAAATGTTTGCTCCAGCAGACATGCACTCTGAATATCCTTAGCTGCTCTTTAAAGCAGAGACCCCACAACATGTGCTTTTGACATTAATTCCTACTCCTCTAGGAAACTCACTTGTCACACTGCGCCTACCTGCTCCTATATGACAACCTGCTCCCACTAACCCTGGAGTTCACCTGTGAATGCTCTTTTCTAATGCCATAAGCATCAGCCAACATCTAAAAAGCATTCTTGTGTCAAGGTAAATATCTCATGCTGAAGTTATGTATAATGCTAACAATAGCCTTTAGTGTAAAGGGAATTAATGTCTTAGTGTTTAAGATATTAAATGCATGTCATGTCAACTGAGCGTGTTTCATACGACAGTAATTCTAAGCAAGAGTTTAACTTGGCTCAATTAAATGATAATACACAACTTAAAGAAAAGGAACCAGTCTTTTGTCTCTTGCTTCCCTTGGTCTGCAAAACAGCTTCTGCCACAGAAATCAATTCCAGTCTTCCAAGACTATATAATGGGCTTCAAAAAACAAGACTGTGCCAATTATTTATTCATCATAATTGAAGGCCCTAGAACCAAAGAAAACATTTTGCAGTTTCTTCCTATAGAATAGGAAATTACTTTCCTGAAGCTGCTACAAAGACCTGAATTAATTACCACTGAGATGCACATTACTGGATTAGTATTAACTTCCATTCTGCTCCCTGAGTTAATTGACTTTCTAACTAAGACTATGACCTTATTTCAGTTTGCATCTTAGAAAAAAATGCATTGTTAAAACGCAAACCAGTACTAGTCAGCCTTCTACTTCTGTGCTATACTGTACTCAATGATATCAAACAAAAAATAAAATAAAATAAATGTGGTGGGATGCTTGTATTTTTCTTAAATATATTTTTATTTTTAAAATATTAATATAAGCTTTAGATAAAATAAAGACTTTTTAAAATAGTGTAACTAGTGATACACACCCTGATTTCCTTTAAGGTACCACATGTATATCACAGTACATAGTATGAGTGATTATATGATGAACTACAGTGAAAAAAGATGGATTATCATCAATAACCCCACAAAAGCACTGCACAGGTACAGAAAGTCACCAGCTTGCTTGATCAAGTGTACTTTACAAACTGTTTTGAGTTGCTGGATGCAAAGAGAAACAAAGGGAATGCCACACTGCAGTAAGTCTTTTTGCTTACCTACCCCAGGACAGACAGTGAAGCTTTTGGCACATTGTCCCAGACGTGACGTGAACATGCACACCAGCACCGTACACACAAATAACAGTCAACCAGCTGGACTCCATCTGATTTGACAGCTGACAGTGAGGTACAACAGCCAACCCCCCTCCCAAAGCTGCTGTTCAGTCTATGGGAGGTAAATGAGAGCACCACAGATGAAAGGATGAAGCTCTGCCACTGTTGCATTAAACGTCATCATGCACTAGTTCTCCAGTGCACCACAAGAAGGGGAAAGCTCTGGAAGCCCTCATTTATGAAGTTCATACCTTTTCCTCATAGTAGCTTCAGGACCACCCCCTCAAACACATACATCAGCCACACAAGCCTACTCTGCATTTTACCGATATTTTACTCTATAGTTTTTAGCTTCTCAACCAGAAGGTTGTTACAGCTTCCTTCAGAGAACTGTTCCACAACCCAGTAAGTTTCACTGCCAGAGACTTTCTTCATGCTATAAAACTTACATTCTTCTTCCTTTTTTTTTTTTTTTTTCAGCCTATTACCTCTCATAATACCTCAAGTGAGACAGTAAATAATCCTGTGTTCTCCTTGACACTCTACATTTAGCTATTTATTGGAAGACTACTATCTTGTCCTAGCCTCTATGGTCACCAACTAAGCACCTCTGGCTTACAGTCCATTTTTACCATCCAGCTTCCTAATGCTGCTTGGAAATTTCAAGCTTAAAAGTATAAAACAACAGCAGCTTTTAAAACACAGTTTGGTTTTGCCATGGGAGGGCTTTTAGCTGGTTCCTCCCTGTTGATATATTGGTTTATTCTAACAGAGCAGAGCATAATTATAAAATAATGAGCACTGACAATTACTGGCTTTAAAGATCAGACTTGTCAAAATAGAAGCAGGAATAATCATGTGCTCTTTGGCAGATACATACCTGCTCAGAAGCATCCAGAGCTCTCCGCTATAATTCATTACAACCTGCCTTTTTCCTGAGGCCACAGCTCAGCAAGCCTTGAGACCTAATTTTCCCCAACACCCACCTGGAGTTGTCAGCCTGCTTCCTGTGGCACTGGCCTCTCCCCCCCCTTGACACACCTTGGGTAGAAGATTTTGAAGGATCTCAGTGCTTCTGAACACCATCATCCTCCCCCACCCAGAGCCTGCCACCCTCAACAGGAGGCATTAGCAGGAGTTCCAGGCATCTACTTAAAGTAAAAGAACAAAAACCATTCATTTGAGATGTACCCATGTAGGTGGCCTTGGGGTTTTACTGTGCTCAGCTTGATTGTCATTTTGTGTGATTAAATTAGTTGATGTTACCCATACAGTATTACAAGAGCTTCTACATTTTAAATGGACTAGGACTTAACAGATGTGCTCATTCTGCTTCCTTCCAGGCTCTGCAGCCCTACCCTGCACTTCTTCTACCAATCATACGCTCCTTAATTCCTCTCTTTAAGGGACCTTCTCAGCAGGAACCCAAGCAAACACAAGTTGATTTAAGCATCTACACCTTACCTGGGGCTTGAACATCTTCTCTTCCTTCTTGCACAATGTTTTTCAGCTACTCCACCCAGACAACAGCAGCAGCAGCTAGTACCACCACCCCGTCTTACTCCTTCAGCTTCATAGCCTCTCATGCTGGGTTTTGCAGCTCCTTTTCAGGGCCAGCCTGCAAGTGTGGCCAGCCCTCCCCTTCCTCCCCCCATCCTCTGCAGCTGGGCTGATGTCCCACCTGAGCCCTGCTCCCCCAAGGAGCTCCTGCCACCAACACACCCGTTCCTTCTTAAGTAAGGATGATATGAGTATGCTGCCCCCGCTATTAGAAAATAGTGCTAGGCTGAAAATTAAGTGAGTTGCTCTTCAGCCTTAAATATTTAACTGAATTGTTTTTAATATTACATTAGGTTATTATTTTTATGATGAGTGAAAGGGATTTTTTCCTTAGCTGAGTGTCTCACAAAACTCTTATTGGAATATCCCAGCTGTGGAAATTATTCCAACAACTTTATACTCCGCAAAAGCGTGGGTTTTGTATTGCTCTTTTAAATCTCTTCCAAAAGCATACCCAGGAAAGGCCCCAGGCTGCCACAACCCCTCCAAGTCCAGACTCAGTCCTAAGCAGAACTCTTGTCATCAAGGACTTAGTACTCAAGACAGGAAGCAAGCATTCAGATGTTATAAACTACCTGTCCCTGAAAATTACAGTGAGTTTAAGAATTTTAACACTAATGTCAATGATATATCTTGCTGCATAATCCTAGTTGCAGGCACAGCATCTTCTTAAATTGCAAATGGGGTTTGCAAACATAAAGGTTTTTCATTCCCTCCTCTTAAAAAAACTGTCATGTCATTTGTAGCTAAAATCATTCTTCATTTTTTTCCTCTCCCAGTCTCCAGTAGCTTTTATCCAATCCTCTTTCCAGCATCCATCTTGCACTTTTAGTGAGAAATCTTCTGAGAAATATGTGTGGTTCTGTTGTGGGACAGGAACAGGGGGATGGGCCATACAACCTTTTAAGCCTTTCTAGCTGTGTTACTCTGACAGTAAAGTCTTCAGTCTGGTTCCTGACCCAAAGAAAAAAGTCATTTTGTCCCTGTCAAAATGTCAGGTGTGCCATGAAGGACAGGCAGTGAACTGTGGCCCCTGTCTTGCATATTTGAGGTCTCTTTCCAGGCTTTTTCTCCATGGCTTACAGGCTGGATCGCCTAACTCCACAGTTTAATTCTGCATAGCAATGCTGCGTATCAGTGTAAGAAGCAATGTCGCACCTCTTCTGCCTCCCCCGTTTCTTTCAAGCATGCACAAAACAGCTGTCTTTAAAATTCCTTGAAGTATTGTGTAATCTTAGCAATAGCAGAGAGCACTTGGGAGCTCAGTGCATTACAAAGTCTAATAACAGTAACAATAACAACAATAATAACAGTAAGGCAGTGAAAGCTCAAGGATGCTGTGACTTTCAGCAAGCTGTAGTATTATTTTGAAACAGTCTATTGCAATGTTGGGAAACCTCACTCACCAGACAGCTACAGATTCAAAGATGTATTAGGGAGCAGGTAACAAAAAGGAGGGCCTTTTATTCCCAGATTGTGCGCGTGAATCCGGCTTGTGTTGACTGCAGTAGAGGTGCTTACAAACTAAGGACTCTTCAGTACACTAAACCAGGATTTGCACCTTTTCACAAATCTGGGTTTAGCTCATTAGACTTTCTGTGCATTTGCTATGATCTCACCTTGAGAGCCGTAAGCAAGTCAAATAAAGAGAGAGCTAAGGGAGAGTCTCCTTCAGTTCTAGTGCTGCCACTGACACCTGTAGCACTGGGAGCTGCAGTGACTCAGTGAGAGAGCTCAGCTTTGCGCTTCCTTCCTCTTCTTCACCTTCAGATTGTGGCCAGGATATGGTTTTGTGTCAGAATAACTTGGAAGCTGCTGATGTACACTTTGGACATGACAGCATGACAGCAGATGGGACACACAGTCAAGGACTTCATCTCTAAACATTGACAAAAAAAGTCATATATGATAAATGACAGAAGTTGAGAAGAAAAATGCCTCGGCTTTTTAAGCCCATGAAATTAATATGCTTTTAATGGGAAGCTAACCCTGAAATATCATGCACGGCTCCAGAAATCTCTCTCCGTCGTCAATATTCACTACACGGATGTCTCTTGGGACAGGTAGAAGCTGACAATTTAATAAATGAAGATGGAAGCAGAATAAGCTGATGTCTTAATCAACTCTACATTCGGAAACAAAGGAGCTATGTAAAGTTCCTTCTTTATTCACCCTTTCCTCAACACTAGTTGATCATATCCGGTCATAGGAATGAAGGATATCTTCACCTTTCTGGCAGCCTCTCCTGTTTACAGCATTTTGTTTTTTTCTACAGAGCATGTTTCCAGGGAGAGAAAAAAAAAAAAAAAAAAAAAGCAGCGTTTCACAGCTCTTCATAAAATTGTCGCCAACCCAAATGTATGAATGTCATTCTCTCTAGTAAGCCCTTTCTCAAATAAACAGTCCTCAGCACGCCTGCAACTAGCAAGTTCAGCTACAGCAAGAGCTCTAAGCAGCAGCCGCTTCCCTAATTGCTTTCTACTCCACCAGCAATCAGCATGGCTGCTGCAGACTGGTGGGCACCGAACAATGTATGGGCAGGAATTTAAAATGCTGCCTTCCAAAGCATGCTCTGCTTCAAGCTGGTACTTGAATTCCTGACATTCTCTAATCATCGTAAATTCATAAAGCTTTGAGGGTGCAGGAAAACATGTGCCAGCTTGGGAGCCCACACGAAGCCTTGCTGGAAAGATGAATGATTCACTTGAAAGAAGATCCTGAAGCACAGATCAAATTTTAATAAGTCTTTGACTCTCTTTTCTAAATGTCATCTCCTAATGACACTCTGGAAAGATGCCGTCTCTCCTATCGGATTCTATCTTGAAAACGCTCAAATGCTAAACTCATGGTAGCTGATAAGTTATCAAACAACTTTGCTTACTAGACCTTAAACTGCAAGGAAAGAATGTTTTGTGGTTTGTCTTTAGGTTGTGATGTTGTTTGGATGTGCAGTACCTGCTTCTGTATTCAACTGCTAAATGAAACATTTCCCTGTCTTTGCAGTCAGGTGAGAAACTGAAACTGTTACTGATTTGAATCTGAATTCCCCTGAAAATAAGGCCAGATATTCAGCAAAGTCCTGCACTCCTCAAGCTCAAAATCTCACCTTAGACGTTTTTTCACACAACAGGCCAGTGCTCAAGGAGAGGCAGGGCAGTAGAGCTGGCAGTGGTGAATCTGGGGCAGGAGGCTCTGTGCCATGCCAAGCACCTCTGCAGACAGAGCAACCCCAGTGCCTGTGATTTACTGTGAGTGCAGCATTCTGGCTGCATCTGGATTTCTTTCAATACAAATACAAGTGCACCCACATCAAACCAAGCATAAATTATGAACTGGAAATGGTGAGGTTTATTTTTTAATGGCCAGAAAGAGCCAACCTGCAATAGATGCCTGAACCCTGTGGAAGGTGACTTTGGGGAACCATCTGAGTTAATAAAGAAATGACTGCATGAGGATGTCACTATTTGCAAAGGGTAATGGCAGCAAAAGTCTTTCTCTGCCAGTCTAAATCACATCTCAGCCTGAAGCAAGTATGAGCTGCAGGGTTTTCTATGGCTGTTGCTGTTAGTCAAGGATATATATGCAGTGAGCATATACCCTTGGCTGGAAATCACAGAGCTCCTGTGACAAGGAAACAAGGCTCTTGCCAGCTTATTGCCCAGGGCTACCCCTGGCATGTGATATAGCATTACTGGTGCAGGCAAATGTAAATAAGAAGATACTAAAGCAAACTTTGTTTACTGATGCAAACTGCCAAGCATAATATAAGTTTTCAGGGTGAATGCATGCCCCATCATAGAAACTGACAAGTCTTTTTTTTTACTTTTTTTTTTTTCTCTTCATTTTGGGCCCAAGAATTTAATGGGCTTTGTGTTGAGCAGCACCTACTCATGACATTTTTTTAGTCTCTGGGAAAGCTTCATACAACCCCATAATATGCCCAGAGAACAGTGTAATTCTTATCAATGTAATGTACCTTTTTTCATTACTCATAGACACATTTTATTTCAAAATCCTAGGCATCTTTTCATCCCACAACATGTTGATAGAAAATTCTCCTTAGTTATGGGCTGATCTTTCCTGTAGCAAATGGGGCAATAAACCTACGTATTTCTGCTCTGACAATTTCTGTGTTGAATCTTATGGATTGTGTGGGTATTTTTGCTTTTACAGTGATGCACAATGCAGATGAACAACACAGAAGAACTTAAAAACTTTTACTACATGTACTGAGTTCACCCAAGATTAACCTTAGTGCAGGAGGAGTTTATCACTATCATAGGACGTACAGGCAATGCCATGGTAACAAGAATCTAGCAAAGGATAACTAGGGATGCTGATAGACATCATTGTGCACATGATTTAATTCTAAGACCATTTAATCTATGCTTTCATATCTGTTATGTTTTCAGGCCTACTTTGTAGTGAATTATAATTTTGGAAACTCTAGTTTTAAAGTGATCGTGAGATACTTGTGACTGGGAGTCACACTGGGTGATTGAAAACAATCCCACACAGGTTAATAAAATGTTTAAATTTAAAATTAATATTTGGTAGCAAGAAGTGCTGTACAGTCTGCTCTGTACTTTTTTGACAAAAAAAAAAAAAAAAAAAAAAAAAGTCATGTGAACCTTGAAGCTATTATTTTCTGTTGTAGCATCGTGTTTTAAAATTTGAGATGTGTTTGGGGTTTCAGCTCTTCAGTATTGTATATAAATTTAGTAATAAGGTTGTACAAACTGAGTAATAAAGTTGACCAAGATAACATATTTGATGTACAAACACTTTCTAACAAAATATCAGTAACATTTTTCCCTGATGTATTATTGCATTATTAATGTATATTTTCTCATACCTAATGAATACTTCCTGATTTTTTTTCTTTGTTGCTGTTGTTGTTTGTTTGTTTTTGTTTGATTGTTTGTTTAGAGCTCAACATGGTATCTAGGAGAGCTTTTATCAGCTAAAATGGCACTTATTATGTAGGTAACATTTATAACATTCTGTATGTAATTTTTATCATTTTGTTCACAGTATGTTGGTAAGAGTTAATTCAGTTCAATTAAAAGCCAAAACAGAAATAGCTAATAAAACATTGACAGTAAAATATATGAGTTTCTGTCTATAAAGAAAAAGCTGAATGAGGA